ACTGTGTAGATGTCCACCTCCTAATGAACCGAGAGAATCAGTAGGGTTGAATAAATAAGCAAACAGGGGTTATATAAAAACCAAACACTTCACACTTTTGTGGAGTAAACTAACCTTAATGAGGCAGGCCGTACTAACGAGCTGTTTGGGGTCAACAACATCCACTAGCGGCTCCTTAATGGCCACTTCCTTGATACAGGACATATCAAAGCCATAAACATTCTCCCACCCTGAAAATGCAAAACAAAACAAAATGAAATGGTGTCCTATTTCAGACACAGCAGAAAAGACCCCAAATGCATTCAGAGATGGACACATACAGTGAATTTTGTAGTCCTTGTACTGTCGGTCCTCGATAGCAGTGACATAGAGCGTGGCTCTGTCAGGGAAAATCAAGCCATCAGGTTTCTGAAAAGAAAACAAATGGGAAACATGGGCATTAATCAAATTACGGTCAACATGCACAATTTTATAGTGAATAGCTTCAACACTGCAACGCTTTAAAAGGACATTAGCATACACCCACCAGCCATTTGTCTCTTGCATAAATGACAGTGTTAAGCATGGACTCGTAGAAGAGACAGTAGCCCATCCACTCAGAGATGATTATGTCTACTTTTTCCACGGGAAGCTCAACCTCTTCTACTTTGCCCTTAATGATGGTAACGACTGGACAAGGAAAATGAGGTTAAGGATTTGAGGTACACAATCTCATAATACAGCAAGTTCAGTTCAAAAGAATCACAAATGTGGTGTGCAAATGAGGTCTGTAAACGATCAGGAAGCCAAGGGCTATGATAAGTTCTTACTGTGATCCAACTTGTTGGCCTTCACAATCTTCACAGCATAGTCTGATATACTGCTGCACTCAATCTGGGGAACGAATGACAAAAGAATGCAAAATCAGACAAAAGCACAGCATGAGCACCTTCACAGGATGGGCAAGAACCTCATTTAACTAAACTAGTCAGTATCCATAAAAACTCAACTGCTGAAAACAATGCGGTGACATTTACATAAACTGGTAGGATTTTCACTCACTCCTATAACTTTCTTGGCCCCAGCTTTGGCTGCAAACATACAAAGGATGCCAGTTCCACTTCCCACATCCAGCACCACCTTATCCTTGAAGAGATGCTTGTTGTGGAACATGGAGTTTCTGTACGTCAGAGTACGAACTTCATCCTTTAGCATCTCCTGTGGACACAGAAGGGGTTTGCATTAGTCACAGATCACAAACGTTTGATTGTGCCACTCTTCACGAATCATGGATAAATAAGACTGTACCTCGTGAATGCCAAAGTGTGCATAGGAATCAAAGTAGTAGTCTTTGGAGGTCATGTCTTCTGCTGCAGGTTTTGCTGAGCTCTCTCCCTGGGACACCTGTAAAAAAAAAAAAAAAAAAAATTATACACCAAGGAAAAAAAAAATTAAAAAAAATGATGAGCTGGGCTTTGCTTCAGTTCAGGCAGTGTCTTTTGTATGTTGCATTCCATTTTGAAAAGTTGTCGTAAGATCCACAACCCAGCTAGACCAGATGGTGATAAATCTGTTTTGTAGCTATTGTGAAGAAATTGTGTTTAATGTTTCAACATCGATTGGTATATGCAAAATTTTAACAAATGACTAAACGTGTTTCGGTCACGACGCATGACTCATTCTAACGAATCGAATAAACGATTCAATAAGCGCTAGCCACAAAAGAATCGCTTGTCACCTACTGTACCAAAAGTAAGGATGTAGTAAAAGACTCACTGTACGAACAAACAATAAATCTTTTTGGTAAATGGATTCAAAAGATTCAAACCTCCATGACCAATCAAAATCCGTCACTATTACAATTAACAGAGCTTGTGCGAACTCAAGACCAGCATTGCTTCTTTAAAAGCAGCGAAGACAATTCAAGGCGGTTAAAACCGGGATAAACGTATTTTCCCCACACAACATTCAAATTATTAGAGAAGAAAAGTCGCGATTATACTAATTCGCCTTTTAAATGAGAAAAATCGTTTTCATAGCGTCGGAAGACCTCTGAAACTTTTGATGAAAATGCATGTGGGCAACAACGTGATTGAGAAAAACGACTTTAATTAATTGACCATACAGCAAACGATAGCAATCAGCTCACTAATAACCAATTAGTCGTGGTTTGGTGAACAAAGCTGTAAAAAGTAGCAAGCACATCCCATGCGGTGCTCCGTCCCATGCGGTCTGCACCCAACAATGGGTCATTGAAGCGCGCCGGCAGCGTGCTCTGAACGACCCTCGTGGAGACCGACCGAGGAGCTAGCTACCAGGACTCAGAAATCACTAAAACCAACTCCATTATACATCAAATGGTTACACGTAACATTTCAAAGCTCGGAACTAACTCGTTTTAGCCTACTAGCAATCGCACACACGTGATGCTAAATGAATGAATTATTCGCGGCTAGCTAAAATGGATGCTCAAGCTGCGTGTGCGCACATTTCTAGCCACCTGATAAGGACATACGCAGCACACAAATCCGTTCAACGACTAAAGCACCGGAGCTAGCACGTAACAAATAAAGCTGGCATGTTGAGTCTAACTCTCGCAAATAGCTATTTGGCCTCGGATGTGTGCCGGCCGATATGGCCTTGAGTAGCTCCAGCTTACCTCCATTCCGTCCGCTGTCTCCGCCATTTCGGTAAACTAGATTGTACCACGACTGCAGCACAGCTCATGTGAAACCCACTTGTTTTGCTCCCGCCCCTTCGCCTTTACTGAATGATTTGATTGGACGACAATCACGGGATTTACTGTAGGCCCCGCCCACTTTCTTGCGGCTCTCCGCCATAGGCTCAACTTCACTGCGTTTTTCCGCTGTTTTGAAGCGTGGCTTTCATTGGACCAAACTGTTGCGCCATTACTGATTTATTCTGTCATACAAATTTTATATTACACCTTATTTGAGAATCATGATTTCATTGTTTTCAGGTAGGCTTGTTATGAGAGTTGGACTGATGTCAGTGACCATATACGTTTACAAAAACGTTTTAGCAAACTGTAATACATTTTGTGCACAAGAACACAGATTTGAACGGATTGAAGACATTTATTCAAATATTTATAGAATCGTACAATATTTATCTGTATAGATAGATAGATAGATAGATAGATAGATAGATAGATATAGAGTATTGATCAAACTAAAACAGGTGAAAAGAAAAAACAGTAGCACATTACATAGACGCATAACTCCAAAATTAAAAGCCTCTCCTCGTGTCTCCCTCAAATTTATATACATTTATTTTCTTCTTTTTTTCCTGTGGAAGATGAGAAGATTTTTTTTTTTTAATATTCCAGTGATTTTGTTCTTACAATCATAATCAATGTTTGAACCACAACATTCTTGAGAATATCTTCTATTTTGTTTTTTTATAGAAGTCGTCATACAGTTTGGAAGGACACGGTGAGTAAGTGACAGAGTTTTATTTATTTTAATTTTTTGGATGAACTATCCTTTTAAATCAAAACAGACTATGCGAAGCCTATTTGGTGCTGCTATATATCAATGTTAAAGGTAGATGCTTTTAGAATAGTGTGCATTTACTGAGATAAATTATATGAGTTTACCATGTACGGGATGATGTATATATTATTTAGGGAAATTTGCTAAATTAGTTGCACAAAACTGACAGGTGCCATCTTGCTCTATTACGTAATGATAACCCCTTACCTGGGACAAGAAGCCCCCAAGGTAAATCTCAGCTGTCATCTGATTTTTGTAGAATATATCAAATACATTTGATTTCATCTTTATTAAATTATTTGAAAGAGCTGCTGTGATGGGCAGGGTATCCATACAGGGTTTTTCCCAAATAAGATCCAGCTTCCCTGTGACCTTAGGGAAGTGTTTTGAAAAATGGATGGATGGAAGAAAAAGGTGTCATGGAAAAATACAAAATTACATATTCTATATACATTCATGCAGAGCACCATGTGTATAATTTTTTGACAAACAAATACATTCGATTATTTTCTGAACTCTTTGCAAATGAGCTCACACCACCATGCAAAATACATTTTTGACATATTCAGACAATAATGTGATTTTGTTTCTAACAGTCGCTCACTTATACCAAGAAGATAACGGATGTGCAGATAGAAGTGAACGATAGAAAAAAAACAGAACAAACGATAGATAGATAGATAGATAGATAGATAGATAGAGATTTCAAAAAAGCATTTGATTCTAGTTGGCACGACGGATTATATTATAAGCTTTTACAAAATGGTGTAGGGGTAAAGTTTTTGACATTGTAAAATCAATGTATTCAAACAACAAATGTGCAATCCGCATTGGCAACAAACATACAGAATTCTTCACCCAGAAAAGAGGAGTGCAGCAGGGCTGTAGCCTGAGTCCAACACTGTTCAACATTTACATTAATGAATTAGCGGTGCAGTTGGAACAGTCTACAGCCCCTGGACTCACTCTACAAGACAGTGATCTGAAGTATGTATGTGTTTCTATGCAAGTTAAAAACTGTGGTATCAAATGTTCACATGTTATAATTTGTTACAGTTGAATACTTCTAAGATGTTATAATATTCCATTATATTACTGTGATGTTCATTTAGTTATTAATATTGTTATTATCTTATTATTATAGATAGATAGATAGATAGATAGATAGATAGATAGATAGATAGGCAAGTATCGTATGATTAATATGTGTTTATCCCCTTCCCACTATCATTATCACACTATTTCAAACATTATCTTTAAACAGGAAGACCAGTCGTTAGATTGAATTAGTGTAATTTACAACCTCTCTTTTGGCAATTTATCACCATTCCCACATACTTGCACTTTGATACTGTCAATGTCGATCTTGTTTTCAAGCCAATTAAAATGGGTATAAAATGTAACTGACGTATGAACGGACAAATGGTGTACTGAATGACAGTAAACTAGCCAATCAGAGCAGGAGAAGCGGGCTGGAGGCGGGACTTGTGGGGAGGAAGCGCTGGAGCGAGCTCAGCGCCCGTTCTGTCACGAGCTCCGTCGGGGTACAGCGACCGAGCGAAAAGTCTCGTACATTATTGACGACTAAATACAGCCCAGAGCCATCTTTTTCTCCAGAAACAGGTCTGTCAGATTAGTTCGTCAGCAAGCAGGATCCCCCGTTGCCATATCGCGGTCATTTGGGTGATGTATTCTAACATTTGATAGAGCTAGCCAGCTCGCTAGCTGTTTGGCTAGCTTGCCGTTCGTGACTCAAAGTCAGAGAGGTATCAGTTGTTATTTTAACACCATCCATCGACATACAGGTGCGTTATCATAAACTAAAAACAACACGTTGGCTTGTTTTATAATTAGTCAGTGCCGCGACATAAGCGTAAGTTACGCCTTTCCATCGTTTTCCCCATTGACGAGAGTTCACGGGATTGAATGAATTAACGTTAGCCAACGGAAACAGCAGTCGCGCTGACTCCCCAGCCTCTCTCGCCCACTGCATTCACCTCTTTTCTTTATAAACACTCGCTGCTGCTTTATTAGTGTGCGTTACGAGCGCTTACAGTTTAATTCAGGACTAAATTAGCAGCTCTAGTGTGAGTCCGTGTTAGTTAACTTAGCCCGCTAGCTCGGTGCATTTGAACCCAAACCGCCGCCTGTTAAACCTGCACCTCTGAACATCTGAAAGTCATTTGTTTCGCGTTGAAGCCGGCTTGAAGAGAAAAAACGAGCAAACATGCCGGCTGTGTCGAAGGGAGACGGAATGCGAGGATTAGCGGTGTTCATCTCGGACATCAGAAACTGTAAGTGTTCCTGTCACACTCAAACACCATTAGTCATTTTCTTATGCGAACAGCTGTGCTGAACTCTTCCTATATACGCCCTAAACTGAATCAAAGGGCTTCTGCTTTGCTCCGTGATGACTTTTAGCCAGAATGAAAGGTTAAATCGTGCTGGTCAGATGAGTGGCTCTTGGCGAGGGAGGTAATGGTAAGTAATCGCGCCGATCACCCAGGCCCGTTAGCTTTAGCTCCGGTGATGGAGTGCTGCTTTATCGCTAGGCCGCCGCCGAAAACCGTGTTTCACTGCAGATGGTGTATCCAGCATGGCTTGTGTCTGTTGCTCTTGTCAACTTGACTAGCTGGATAGCGGTTGATATCGCTGCTCGCCAAGAGGACTCGATTCAGATGTGTTTTTCACGATAATCCAGTTATCAAGCTGTCGCCTTGAGCTAAGCGTTATAGGAGGGTCATCTGGTTAAGATGTGTCTGTAGTCTTCTGGTTCTGCCTCTTTTGTGCCTCTAATTTTACCTCTTGAATCTTAAAAAGCTTTCTTTCTGGTAGGAGTTTGAGTTCCTAGTAATGTTGTGATTAATTTTAGTAATTTTGTGGAGTTTTGAAGAATGGCTGCAAATAAGATTGATATTCGTGAACTTGTTTCGTCCTCGTTTTCTGTTGAACGCCTGAGAGTGTTAAAACGGGCATAATTCCAATTCGAAGGTAACTTTTTGGGATACATTTTGTGATATTAGTGATGAATGAGAGTGAAGTGTTTTGCACATATATTGACTGGGAGTCTGAGGGTTTGGCCTGTGCATTGTAGTATGTATCTTGCATCATAATTTGGCACCACATGCACATGAAGTTCCAGGAAACCTGTGAGAGTGCTGTTTTTCTGGCATGCTGGCTTTTTCTGGACATAATCTCCTCATTGTCTACATTTTATTTTAGGGCCACTTGCATAAAAATGCGTGGCTTCTATACTAAAGTGGCTAATGCATGTTTTTAGGAAGATGATATACTTTCTAGGGGAGTTTTATTATGATACAATCTGACATTAATTCCCTCTTAGCAATGTGGTGCTTGTCAATACATCAAAACATGCTGTGATACGATTTGATTAGATTCAGCGACATGTGATCAATATATCAATATTACAATGTTATGTGCCTATTTCACATAACCTGTTACATTTTTGTTTAATTCACAAATGCAAACAAAATATAACATAGACATTTAATTGTACTCTGGAAATAGAAAATCGTGTATTCCAGTTGGAGCATCCAATAAAAAATGATATAGAAAAAAACATGAGTCACACATTAGGTTATCAATCGTCTAATGTCAGCTTTGCATTGGCTTGTGCAATGAGATAAGTAATGACAACAGTCAAGTCTTTTGTGCTCTCCAAAATGTGCAAAAGTAGTATTAGGACATAGACAACAAAATCAAGTATTTAAACTGTTGGGGGAAAAAGTTTTGTACAAAAAATAAAGACATTTCAAAGTTTTTAAAACTTATCAAATATTCTAAGTTTAATCTATTTGCAGAAAGGATTGTTGCTGTTTATTCTGTGGCTTTGTCTGGGAGTTAGTGATGACTGGCGTTACCCACAGTTGAAATCAGATTGCATGTTACTGCAAGCTTTCACACAGAGAAGCCAGCCATTAGACAGCTTGAACCTTAAGTTCGTTAACATCTACAGTTACATAAATTGTAGGAATGATGTTGACTCATGCTGTTTGCAGCTATGTCAGGTTACTTTGGTGGAATGAGAATATATTCTGCAAATAAAAGCTAATTCAGGCCTTCATTGCTGCCATAATTGCAACATTTGTGAGTCGATTGTGAATCTTATATAACCGGTGGTCAATTAAATTATTTTAACTTAAATAGTTTAACTAAAACATAGTTTAAGTTATTTGTGTCCTACTGCAGTCATTAAAACTGCAACACCAATAAAATCATGCGTGTTAGGGCTGGGCGGTATATCGAGTTTGTACGATATATTGATATATTTTAATAAGCGATACTGTATGAAGCAATATCGTCAATATCGAGTTTGATAGGAGCGCATTTGAAAAAATATCTAGGGAGGACACAGACTGAACTGCTGCGGAGAAAGTGCATTATACAATTTGTTCTAAACATGTGACAAGCTTTATATGAAGGGCTTTAATAAACTCGTAAGTAGTGTTGTCACGGTACCAAAATTTCAGCATTCGGTACCAATACCAGTGAAAATCCACGGTTCTCGGTACCAATTCCGGTACCAAAGCAAAACACAAAAACATGCCAATTAAAAAATTTGACTATACTTTCATTTAATCCAAACTGTGTACATATTTAATTTTAAAGGGCTTTTGAAAACCTAGAGCTATTCAGCCAAGAATAACAACTAAGTTAGCTAAAAAAAAAAAAATCCCAGAAGTGCTTTTCTGACTGATATGACACAAACAATGTTAACCATTTGTACATTCTCTATGGCACGCATATTTTAGATTTACACTACATTTAAAAGCCTCTGGTGTGTAAAAATATTAAATATCATCATGTCCCTCCTGTTTTTTTACCCTAATAAAAGTTATAGGAGCATTAAATAGTGAATAAAGAAACGTCATTCTAATGCTCTTTATATTATGAATGATGTTCATAACAGAAGCAGTGTTATATGGCGGCATATATATATATATATGCAAATTCATTCTCTGCCAGCAGGAGGCCACAAATATATTTTCCAAAAGGCTTTGACTTCGTTGAATAAACATGATCACTGCATGTTTCAAAATCAAAAAACCTGTTGTGGGTGTTTTTATATCACTGTATTTCTGAAGGAAACCGACTGTCTTCAGAAAAATTTTCTATGTCATTTTCATTTCATCTTGCATGTAATGTCTGATAAAGAAGCGTTTGTGAGCTGAGCTCTGCATTGTGTACAGCCGTTACCAGGGAAACCTCGATCTCTACCACTCCAACAGCGCCTCCTGCTGCCAGAGAATGAATTTGCATATATATATGTACATAAATAGAGTGCAAGTCTGTGGGAATATTTGTATAACACTAACTGTAAAGTGACTCTAATGGGGTAATCAAAATAGGATAATAATAATGACCCTACAACAGCTCTATTAATACCGTATTGACCCGAATATAAGACGATGTTTTTTTGGGGGGGGAAATACATCTGAAAAAATGTGGTCGTCTTATATTCAGGCTCTA